GTTGTTCATCGTTGGAATGTTGATCTTCCTCCATTTTCATGATTGGGCAATTTTTGCGCCCTATTTTTCATGAGGTTGATGAAATGTAAATAGCAAAGGTATCGCTGAATCTTTCATAATCGACTAAGCTTAATTCACTTTCTCTCTCCTCTCTCTCTCTCTCTCTGTGGCCAGCAGTGCTGTGAGTTCTCTGATTTAAACTGTCATGAATTTTAATTCGTTTGTCTGTTTGGTTATGTATTGAGACATATGTCGTTCATTGAGTTGTTAACTTTGTAGGTTCTCTCTAAAACTAATCTTCCATGATAATTTTGTTAAGGATGAATCACATGCATTTCATAGTCTTATTTTGGTCTTACTTTAGGAACTTCCTCAATTTCGTAACAGAGGAGCTGTTGAATCCTTTCAAGTAATTGATGATTTACCGCTAGCTTCATGATTGTACGGTTGTTTGCTAGGAATTTGCCTCGCGCAATTTACATTTCACTTCCCCTGGTCACCATCATATACACGTTGACCAACGTCGCATATTTTTCCGTGCTGAGTCCCGACCAAATGATGGATTCCAACGCCGTTGCCGTCGTATGTTAATCGATGCTAATGTAGAAAATGTTATTAATTTTATCTCTTAAGGACTACGCTAACTATATACTTGGTGGCTTCGCCGTTGTAATGCCAATTTTCGTGGCTTTCTCAACGGTCGGAAGTCTAAACGGCATTTTGTTTGCCTGTTCTCGGTATGCTGTTCGTTTGCGGGAAACTATATTGATTTAAATCGATTGTCTTGTCTGTTCAGTATGTTTTTTGTTGGTGCCAGAGACGAGCAGCTGCCGCAACTCTTGGCCATGATCAACGTGCATTGGATGACTCCTGTGCCGTCATTGTTGATCTTAGTAAGCAAACCATACTTTCTTTTATGATTCAGCAAAAATAGTCAAAGCGTTTTGTGATGTTCTGGTGTCTGAAAGGTGTCACGTTTAGTTTAAAGTAAACTGGTGCTAAATTTAGTGTAAAGTTTTTTTAACGAATTTCATTAAATGCAGTTAAATGCCCTCAGTTGTTGGTCGTGGGTGCAGGATGACAGGGAAAGTCCAAACATTTTGATTCCAATGTCTGGTTCTGACTTAAACGATCTATGCAGATGCTTCTCGCTTTATGATGGTTCGACTTTAAAATGGGGTGCGACAACGATGCGTTCTCAGTCTCTGTAACGATCACGAGCGTAAGCATCTCATACATTGTTTAGCAACGTATGATACGGTGACGATATGATCATAATTATAAAAAATTTTTGAAATTTGAAAGATAAATACAGAATGCTCTTGTTTGCTATAAAGAAATTTATAATGAAAATAACAAAAAACTGTCTCTCTTAAAACTTTATATCTTCCTGAAGAAGCAGACACTTGTTCGTGAACCATTAACAGCTATCGACGATCCAGTGCATTCTAACGGCTATTATCACGTACGCCAACGATCAGAAAAAAGGAAATTGATTACCCTGTCGCTACATCCTCGTTCCCCGCATCATCTTCCAGAAATTAATGTTAACTTTTCAGTCACTGTTATTTAGTTAGTTAATAATAAGTAATTATTCGTTTGTTTACTTATTGAATGACAGCAGTTATTATTTACTTATTTATCCTATTGTATTCATATTCGACTCACGATATTATCAACTTACTATGGGTTCGTCGGAACGCAGCCCCATCGTAAGTCGAGGAGCATCTGCAGTACAATCCGAGCAGTCCGTTTTGAATACCGAATTATTGCCTGACCCTATCCTCTGTATGTAATCAAATTGCGCTTTTCAACAGAATAATGAGAACAGTTGTTTAATGAAAGAGGTTTTGGCGCACGAGATAAACAAAATATGATTTTTGACGTTTCGACTTCAAGCACTAAATTTTTTTCTCTGAAAGCGTAAATACTGTGAACTATTACTGTGGAGACTGTGGTGAAAATTTATTTCTTGTTATATGCCTTTTCCTGTTTCTTATGGAAAGACGTTAAAGTTTGTTTTTTTTGTACGTGGAACTACCTAGTAATATTACAAACAACACGGATTAATGCAGTACAGTTGATCTATCAGGTAATGTCTCAATGCTGATCTTTTGACCGTATGACATGGGCTTTCCTTAAATGTTAAGCAGTGATAAATTTCAGTTGCTGTTGTGATCTTAGTGAATATCTGAATTGGCTAACTATAATTTGAAACTTATACTCATTTATTCAATAGATGAGTATAAATTAATGAATGAATTGAATGTTTGCAGATTTTGTCCTACCTTTATTGAGACATTCCATGATTGCTGCATGACCTTTGAAAGAAAGATAATTTCTATTTACTGTCCTCACTTCCGACTGAATGCGGCATCGATCGTCATTACAGCCCTGAGGAAAATGTGCATGCCACAAGAATTCCACAAAACCGAGATACGGCACAAATCGGTCATAATAACTATTACATAATATGACATGGTGAAAGCAAATGCCATTGATTCTTTCGAGGCTGCAATATGAAAAACTAAATGGACTTCTATGTGATCTGTAAATTCGCGCGTCATCGTCAGATGGTTCCACATCATTTCGAACTGTTTCGATCATGAGATCAAAATTACGTACAGTAGTTATCGATTACGACCCGTTGATATGGAACGTAGTACATTGATTGCCTGGTTACGACAAGGCGAAGTTTTTCTCTGAAGCATAAAGATATGTCAGAATCAAAAGCAAGTTATCGGAACAGTCTGCTACAAACGATATACTCACCAGACAGACTGATCCTACAAGTGCTGATTCTCTAGATCTGCTTCCATATTACAAGCCTTTCAACGAATAACTTTAATTTTACGAACCTCATTCTAGAGATTAAGCTTTTGTTTCAGAATCACCCATATTACCTACTACATATTGTACAGTCTGTGAGATCTGTTCGTGAAGGTCGAACTACCGTTTGTAAGGTTGTGAGCCATTCCATTCCCGTTCTCTTTCACTTCTCTTCTTCATGATAGATAAGTGAGTAAATAAGAGGAACGTTAGAAGCCACATACTGTTGTGTTTACCTAGTTGCAGGTTGCTTGATACAAATATTGCGTTCTCGCCAGATCACTGCCGCACCATGAAGTTTCTTTTCAATAAGGAAGTTTCAGAATAACAAAACTTTTATCATGGGTGGCATGTATATATTGAAAACTTGACATGATTTAAATTGTTAGCGTACTGAAGGCAGCTGTTATAGCGGAATTTATAACACTAAGCTACAAGTAATAGTAATATTATGGTTACTTTTAAGAAAGCATACATGAACGAATGCCTCTGACACTTTTCTGAAAGTTTCCAAGGTTCATTTTTTAGGGTGGACTATCGATGCTGATGCTCACAACAACAAACGTTTTTGCACTGATCAATTATGCCAGCTTTACAGAATCTCTAATGGTGTGCGTGACAGTTGCTGGGCTTCTTTATATGCGCTGGAAGAATCCAGATCTGCCTCGGCCTATCAAGGTGTGGTCTCCATGTTTAACGTATTTCAGCAGTTACATGCTTTCGTTTTTAGCTCAACCTCGCTATTCCTATCGTGTTCTTTGTTACATGCATTTTTCTTCTGGTTTTGCCTTTGTTCACGAGTGCCTACGAAGTGATGATTGGTCTATTCATCACTCTGTCAGGGATCCCGGTGTATTTTTTCGGCGTATATTGGAAAAACAAACCAAAGTGCTTCTTGCGCTGTTGGAGTAAGCGAACTGCATTGTTTCTAGTTGGAACTGCTGTGTTATGTTTGTTGTTTAGATTCTTTCGTGTGCAACCTTCAGCGAATCTTCTTATGTGTCCTTCAGGACGAAGTGACTTAGCTGCTGATATTTTTATCGCTGACCGCATGTCAAACAGGAGTCTTGGGCAACAGCAGTCACGGTGGTTTATTCATTCCGTCAAAAACTCGTGTCTGTCAGTGCCAAAGATACGTCTTCTTTCATGTTTATTGGTTATCATTATTCTCCAGTTGTTTTCTGAATATTGATTGTTCACAATTACGTGCTAAATATTTTGAGCTTACGATATGATGATAAAAGTCCCACCTGCAATTTTTCGTTTGCAGTTTGTGTTGACCTTGTAGCGTATTGAATTGACTATACGTTCACAGTACAATCTGATTGCAGCTTCGACCGACCTATAGTTTAAGCTGTCCTAAAATGTTGAGCTTTTGCTATCAACACTGTGTGTTTAAAGTGAAGAAGAAACAGCTGTTATTTATCAGTAAAGAACTGATTTTAACTTGTCGTTCGTACAAGGCTGTTTACATTGTCCTCGTGAGGGAGTATGTTATGATCATCCTGTCATAGCTTTTTTCTAATATACATATACAAAGCTAAATCAGTTGACTTTGGTGTCACGGGTTACAAGTTTTATTAGTACTAATTTACGTTCGCTCGAGTACTTGTCTATAAATTTGGAATGTTCCAGCAACTGTTTCTACATACATACGTACATGCTAACATACCCGCCGACATGTATGCAGTGTTTATGAGGGAGTGATGAAACCGTTGCTTATGGGAGGTTGTGTAATTCCAATTGCAGTTCCTCGATAACTGTAGCTGTTGTTCATCCTGAGTTCATCCGAATGATTGTCAATTCTCCAACTACTTTCGCCAGATAGAGAATCATCGAAAACATCGTTTTTGTTTATTAACTTGATTCCACAGAAGTCCATAGCGAATCCCTTGTATACGGTCTGCCTAGAGAGCAGCATCAGTTCCTCTCGATGGAGACATGAGTAACTTGTCGAATGCGATCACATCTCGCGTGTTCTTGTCGAATGACGGATAGCCTTTGTTTACCAGGCGACTGACATCCATGGCTACTTTCGTCCATTCTTCATGGGACTTCTGTTGGCCTACTCTTCAATTCAGCTTGGAGCATCTTTCATTATTGCGTCAGGTCCAAAAGATTCTCAATTCACGAATGGCTTCATCGAACCTTGGTTTCTCTTTACGGCTATCTGTCAGAAAAATTGTTGTAACCTTCCCTGTGAGGGATACTGTAGTAAAATTGCAACTTCACCGTCGCGGGCCAGTCATTGATGGATGTCACTTCATCGAAACTGGTCGTCCACTGGTAGAACGGTTCGTTCCTGTGGAACACCGGTAGCACAATCGGAATCGATCGTTCCATATTCCCCTGAAATCAGCCTGATGCTTTTCTGCCTTTAGTTCCGCGTTTAGCGTAACTTGGCGATCCCACTTTCCTCACCCTCTGTAGTGTCGGCTTCTGCCAGACAAAATTGCCTTCTGCGTCTGTGTAGAAATGTTCGGAACTTCATGAGATGAGACGTATGAACAGTTCATTTAGCAGATTGTATGCTGTTTAATATCCCTCACGCAATATTCAGTATGACTGAATTGCACTAGCACTGCATAGTCCTTTTATAAAGGAGAAGTTCGCATTTAGTTTCCATTCTTGATTGAAGAGTCGCCCTTAATTGGAGGCAATTTATTTGCGATCTCCAAAATCAGCAGTTTGCTATGTTGCGTCAGTCTGTCTGTTGCTGTTCGTTCTGGCGAGTCAGGTTTCGCGCTCGAAAATTGTGCGACAGTTGAAAGGCCGCGGCAATGTCCTCACATATTGCACATCAAAAACAGTAGATTGATTAATAGGCTGTTTACACTATAATTTTAATATTGCCGTATTCGTCATTGAAAATCCGCATTTTAAAACACTTCTTTGTCGGATATAACGAAATTTAATTTTAGTCCAGAAAACTACCTAGTAGTTGGAAAAAGGCCCTCGGCCTCGCAGTCCTGTAAACTCATTCATTTTGCAAAATCCAAGAAAACTGATCACCTAATTAATATGATATGACTGAATACAAGTTGGTGTGGTGTTTCTTATTGATATTGCCAACCATCATTTCCGAAGTGTACTGCAGCAGTCTTCTTTCTACAACAGAAACTGTGAAAACGTCTTCAACTGGTGAGAGCGTTGAACTACGTTCACGGAATTTTGAACTTGTCAGTACCAACAAGAAAGGCAGAAAAGTAAGTCCTGCCGGGCATAATTCTACGACCGAAGTTTCTCAATCGTCTTCAGCAAACAGCTCGTTCGCCACAGGTCGACGACCAGACGAAAGTGACCAAATGAAGTTAACGACGGTTGTCTGGACTGAAAATACTGAGCGGTTGGAAGAGGTAGAAAAAATCGGCCAGGCTCAACTCGAAGATATTGAAGATGCGCTTGAAATAATTGAAAAATACATTTGTGGATTCGCGTCTAGACTTCATATGTTTGAGAGTATGAATCAGACGGAGTTCGACTTCGTACGAAAGATGCTCTACAGTATGCAGGACATTGAAGACTGGTCGATCCACACAGGTCGTCAAAATGTCACTATAACAGAAGGAGGGGCATATGTTAACTCAAATAGGTTCTACTACATGGCACTAGAGGGATTCTGCGGATTTTCCATATTCTTATTGGTGGAGATTGTGTATCTCGTCTGTCAAGTGAGAAATCTACTGTCAGCGGGGGGAGGACGGGATTTCAGCGTAACTGATTGCTGTTTCTGGTTAACCTTTGCTGTTGGTTTCAAATAAATGAGCTGAGCAGCTGTTAATCGGTCGAGAAAGATTTTTGTTGGGAATTTAGGGAGCATCGGTAGGGACCTCTGCTATTTCAAACGCATTTTCGTGCTAACAAAAGATGTTGTATCATAAATGAATTTTAAATCAAAAAGTTCCTGCTAGGGAGTATTGCTTCTCAAAGCATACACTAAATTGCTGATGAGCGGCGTTCGTAAAGGATAATTGCTCTGCTCTTGTCTGAAAGGCTGGTCGAAATGTATTAATTGTACGCTTTCTAAAATTTTTGATAACAATCAATATATACTGTCCTTTCTGACTATAGAAAACAATAGAAGTATTTTGCCTTCGATTTCGAATACGTAATGCGTGCTAAGAAGCTGCTGATTAATAAACTAATTTTCATTACAATCTTCTGTCAAATCTCTGAATTTACATGGAGTAGTCGCGCGAGTACCCTTGCTCCTATCGTCTTACGGGACTGTTTAAGCAGGCCGTGGCTCTATGGTATTGTAGTGGCTCTAAGCCTCTGTAACGCATGAATGCAACGCCGAATCTCTGTGCAGGACAGACTATAAACCTGTTCGAACATGTACCGGAACGTTATTGTCTGTAGGCAGCAGTTTCCTAGTAAATCCACCACCTGAATTTCCATATTAATTTTATTATCTTTGCTAAATGTATAAACCGTGATAATTATCAACCAGTCAGTCAATTTCGATGACCGCTTAATCATTCCGGGCGATGGAGGCAGGTGCGTCTGAGAGTTTCTTTAACTTGTCTGATTCTCTGCCAGCGCTTGAGCCGATCCTCCGAGGAGGAGTACCTGAGTCTATTACACAGTCTATCCAGACCCCTGCTCAAATCATTCTTAGGCATCCCCCGGGTCTTCCACCGGTCGGTTTGGCAAGTATTAGCATTTCGCTTTCCTTTCTGGAAGCATTCACAAGAAGTGCCCAAGCCATCGCAGCTGTCACTTCTCAATCTGGCGAAACAGCGAATGTGCACTAAGGTTTTCTCAGTTATCTGTACTCCTGATCAGATCGAAACGCTTTAGCCAAGTTGTTCGTTTCAGAAGGCCATTCTATCCGCTTCTACCAGAGATGGTAAATGACCCACGGCTCCCGGAAACGAAGAGCCACTTGAACACAGACAGCTTAGTCATCAGACTCAGTTCTGCTTTTGTCACAATGGATCAAACTAGTTTCCGCAGAACCCCTGAGACAATTTGAATTTGCTGGTAGATCTTTTCCTCCCATTTTCCGTCAACAGTAGACACGACCGCGAGGTTCGCAAACTTCACTTGTTTCACTGCTTCTCAGTTTATCTGCTGAACCCTCCGAGGAGGAGAAGGAAAAAAAACTACACTTTTCCTTTTGCATGCTTTCACATGTACTTGGCATCGCAAATGAATGCAAACCTCTCCAGAGACCGCTACAGATCACTTTAAGAAGATGCCAACAAAGCACTGTCGGCAGTAGACGGCAACTTTCTCGTCTCTATATCTCTTACGAAGATACGATCGTCGTCCTGGCTCTGCATGACTATCCATTCCATGTACAAAACAAACAGGAAAATGTAGGGAGCGCATCCTTGCCAAAAATTAGAGCGAGCGAACTTTGCGAATTCTCCAGTTGACGCTGCCCCTGTCTTCAACATGCAGTGACTGAATGGCTAATAGGTACCCATAATCGGTCCTTCTTTCTGCGGGCACGCCAATGACTTGTTGCGTGATATCTGGTTACATGGTACATGTCAATTGGGTAAGCGAACTCCTATGATTTCTCAACAATGTGATGAAAGGCGAAGACCTAACCAGAAGTGCTTCGATCTAAATTTAAGTTACACTGCTATTTCTGCGTCTCATAATCAGATGTTCTCAACACCAACCTTCTAACAGTCTTACGTAGATGTTTCCCGGGAAACTCGATAGGTAATTTCCCCATAATTGCAACAGTCCCTGCGGTCTCCGTTGTTGAATAGGAGTACTGCAAGCACCGTTTTTTAGTCTACTGGTGGCTTCGCCGTGTAGCGTCAGTTTGACAAACACAATTTAGTCATGCCATACGTTTTAGCCCAAAGCCATGAACATCTCAGGACAGATTTCATTAATTGCAGAAGCCTTGCCACTTTAAAGTTTTTCAGACTTTTGTGATTTCATCTACAGAAAGATTCATATCCGACGCCTGCTGCACATCAGTCAAGTATTTTTGCTCTTGGTTTGGTTAAGAAATTCCTGAAAGTGTTTCCTTCATTGTTGAAATTTGTGCTTTTCCTTG